TCTCAGTCTTCGTGGGTACGACCTCGTACTTGTCTTGCTATACTACTAATTGCCCCGTACAATTGCGAGTTAACATAATATTAACAACAGCTTCCATCACCCATGAACACACCAGAGGTGTCCTTTGAAATTCAACGATAATCCAGAAAACCTTCTCGATCTCGAGTCACATGTTTAGTTGCTCCCGTATCTACAATCCACCTAGAGGACGTATTAGCAACTAAAACATGTTCACATACATATATGTGGGAAGGTTCAGTTAAGAAAGATACCTTCTTCGGCTCAGTACAATCACGAGCGAAGTGACCCTTCTTATCACAGTTATAGCATTTGACTTTGGACAAGTCTTTCTTCCCACCACGCTTGCCCCGACGGCGCTTGGTTTTGTTGTCATCCTTTGGTGCAAGCTTGTTTGCCCCATCCTGCTTATCTGTCTTTCCTTTTCCTTTACGCTTAGACCCTTTAGTCTTAGACGTGCCACCCTGGGCGAAAAGGACAGTAGCATTGGTCGCCTCTTGGCGCTCCGATTCTAGCTCAACATGACGAGAAATATCAGAAATTTTTTTGATATTCTCATTATGTGTCATGATTTGTTTCATGGAGCTCCATGAATCTGGCAGGGATTTGATGACTACCTGCACTTGCTGCTCATCAGTGAGGGTATTTCCAGCAGCCTTTAAGTCACGTATCATGCTAGAAAGCACCCTTAAGTGCTCATGAATCGTGTGCTTAGGATTCTTGCGGTATACCTCAAACTTCAGGACCAAACTTCAGGACCAAACTTCTAAGTCGAGTGGTGGACGTACCACCAAAATCAAACTTTAGTTGATTCCATAAAGCCTTGGTAGTAGGGTAGCTTTCATATCCCCCAATAAGATCATTGTACATGTTGCTTAGCATAGTAAAGCGCGCACAACGATCCTTTTTGAACCAAGTCTGATAAGCTTCAAGATCACGGCGATGTTGGGCCGTTTGCCCAACCTCAGGGTCGACCATTGAATTGGTTAATGTTTCCAATAACTCCTGCTCATTCAAGAGATATTGAATTTTCCTATGCCAAATATCATAGTTGGTACCCTCAAGTTTGTCTCCCTTATTTAAGTTAGCAACAACATTTTTGGTGGTCATTATCTATCAAACACAAGGATTGACTTTAGTATTAGTGTTTTGCACATTTCTACTTGTTTAAAAAATAAATTGAAAATAATTATCCTTCCTTACAAAATTTGGACTCGAAAATTCGCTATGCTTGTAATCATCACCCAAAAAAAGCAAGTCTAAATAAACATTTTCAATTATTTTAAACAAATTTCTACTGAGAAAACACAAAGTTTCCAACCAAACAATTGTTTGCGCAGTTTCATAAAAGCGTATGGGTCTCATACGAATCTAAAATTGGGAGTCCATTTAATAGGTTAACCAATGAAAGTCCATCGAAAAAATGTGACCAGGTAAGTTTCGGGAGTAGTGGTGGAGATGAACTCGCTTAAATACCATTTCCTCTTAAACACCAAAGGTGTTTCCTAAATAACTTGCCTAGACTTCACACATTTTTTTTTGGGTAGTCAATTCCACTGGTATGACCCATAAATTAACTCAACCAATCCTAAATCCATATTTGGCATGCTAAATATGAACAACTTAATAACATATTTAGTTTCTAAATGACATGTCATTATTGTTGCTAACTTCATAAATAAACAATTTTTCATTTATTCCAAGTGATACTTAGCCAAATGATTTTTAGAAAATAGACGGGAGGAGTCCACGATTGGATTCCATTTGTCTAAGATGAAGCTCTACAAAGGGCATACGTGCTCTCATGCGCCTTCAAAGAGGATGTGTTCACAAAGAACACTGTTCACGAAGAACACTGTTCATCTTGCTGAAATTTCCAGGAAAATTTTTCAGATTTTCATGATCATTTGGCCTTCTTTGGAGACCTTTATCTTCTTCGTTATGCATCCAAATGATGCATACGATGTATCATTGGAAAGCTCATGCAACAGAGAATATGCTAAGGCAAAGAAACGGCATAAAAAACAACTTAACAGCATGCAAACATGCTCTAAAAAACTCGAAAACAAACTGTTTTTCATGCACTTGGGTTTCTAAAACTCCTAAACTACTCCTTTAATTTGTACGAAAAATTAAAGGTAAGTTCACATCACATAGAGGAACATACTTGCGTGGAAAGAAAACATCAAAAAACAATCAAACAAAAAAAAAGAAGTTTCTTGGTTCATGCTTTCATGGTAGTTCTTGCGGAACAACAAAAAACACAATCTCATGCATCATTCAACATGGCGAAAAGCAAGCATACAAGCTATGATACCACTGTTAATTACTGTTAATATATTCGGAATAAGGTACTGCATACCTTGCAGAAGATTCCAAGTGAAAAACCGCTTGCAATTACTAGCCCGCCGAGATGCTTCCACGTTTCGAGCACGCCAACAAGATTCTACACGTTCTTCGTCTCCAAGGTCGTTGGATTGGCTATAAAAGTTACTCCATTGATTTCACGTACCGAAGACCAAGGCTCTTGGTGAATTGCCTGAAGGAGAGTGTTTAGGGAGATATGAGGTTTCTTTTTATGTGGGTGTAAAGCTCACTACAACTCTTCGATATGCACTCACACTTCTTGTCTCACACACACACCAACGTAGAGAGTATGCACTAATGCTTCTCTTCACACTTCTTTTACTTGCACACACACTCCATCTATTTATAGGAGTTGTTTTGGCTCATCCCAAGACAGCATAAAACATTCTTTAGTGCAAGGGTTGGTATAGTGCCTTTAGACAAGGACTAGTGCCTTAATTAGTGGTGCACTATGTAGTGGCACACTTATTTTGTCTGCTGACTTATTGATGATTTATTACAGAATCATTATAGAGGCTAATAACTTATTTGAGTAATCTCCCAATGTCCTTGTTCTTTGTGGATTTGTTCTTGCATTTGTTATTTGGATTTTCTGTAATGGCATATCTGAACTTGTTATTTCTGGATTGATCATGCATATGATTAGATCATAGTTAGCGAAGTGTTTTATTGTTGTGGTGAGAAATTGACACAATGGTCTGTTGTTTGCAATTCTATTGCTTTTATTGTTGTATTATTGATATTTCGTTGTTGTTTCATCATTGCGGGTTTATCCACTAGTTCTTTTCGGTCGAAACCACTAGTTTATTGGTAGCTTGACATGTGTTAACAAAGCGATATTTCCTTATGGAATATGGAGACAATTGGTATTTTGATTTGCTATAATAGAAATTGGGTAACCTCAAAGAAGATGTGCACATACAAAGGAGGTAACTCGAAAGGCATAATAGTATCGTGAACCATCAGTATTTGCACTTCTTTCGAATCCCTTGTTCCATCAGGCCCAAGCAAAGCCATCAGAAAAACATATATCCCATGTATTTGGAAGTAAATAACAAAAATAAAGTTAATAATATACGTGGTCTGAGAAGTGGTTGTAGAATAGGAGACTCCTTTTTTATGTTAAACATGGGTTGGAGCCCAAGGGTTAGGTGGTGGTGGGCGCTTGGAGAAGGGATGGTGGCGAAGGGGGATGACAGTGGGACGGAAGGATGGGGTAGGATAGTTTTTTTTTTGTTGAAATTTTAAATTTTTGTATTGATGTTTACTTAATATTAGTTTTTCTGCACGCGCTTCCGCGCCTGTGAGAGGCTTTTTTTAAAAAAAATTAAAAATGATTTTAGAATTAAAAAAGATAATAGGTAGTTATGTTCCATAAAAATAGGCCATTATTTGATTTTTCTTTTACCATGAAAAAGTGTGAATTTACCATATTATCCTCATTTAATTAATAATTTCAATTCTTAATGTTTGCATTAACCAATGGCATTTTCTGGTATTTTGAATGTTTCACCATTCTCTGCCTTTTGCTTTATATATATAGATTAAATATTTTTTTAAATCAAACAAACTGACGGAACTGAGACTTAGGACTTAATTTGTTAACTGCTGCAACTACAGTGATGAAATTGGAAAATTGAAATCACAGTGAGAAAATCGGAAAATAGAAATCACCGTGACCAAATTTAATTTTGAGCCAAATTCCGATGACTAAAAATGTAATTGTTTTTTTTTTTTTTTTTGTTGAGATAGACTAAAAATGTAATTAACCCTTAATAAAACACCATAGCCTTTGTGTTTAAAATAAAATTTAAAAAAAATAATGCAACATGTGATAAAACCCTAATTTGTTCCAACCTCTAAGGGCACAATTGGAATTTAGAGTAAAAAAAGTGTTGGGTCTGTTTAGCAAACAGTTGGGTCCGACTAGAATTTCCCAAAACCTAGTCCACAAATTAAAACGCGAGATTTTTCTACATTTTTTAGTTTCACTTTTTTTCTTTTTCGCGCGATTCAAACCTCTCTCAACTCTTGCTCCGCCTCCTCCCTCCTCTCTCAATTTCACTCGTTCAGTACTGCCATCGTCCACTTTCCATTAAAGGTATGAAAGTTTCTGAATTTTTCTTTATTTCTGATTTTATTTCTTTGTTTTTAGTGTTTGAAAAAGTGGATGTTTCAGAGTTTGTGTTTTTGGACTGTTTTAATTTAGGTTGATTGAGTTGTGACTGGTTTTGGGTTTTCCCATTGCTGTGGCAAGGCAGAGTGTTGGAAAAAGAAGCTTAGAAAGGAAAAAAAAGGAGAGGTGCATAGGATTTTGGGTTTTGCCTTTGAAATCAATGCATTTCTTTGTATAAATTTCATGTCATTTACCTGGGTTTGTTTGTTAATTTTTTTTTTCTGTATGTTTGATTGTTGTGTTTTGATCAAGACATACAGACAGAGTGGAATCACATTCTTTCATCTTCCATTTTTTTTTGTTTAAATTTTAAAATTGTGCTTCACCTTCCGTGGTTCGTTTGGTGGAAGTGCTTGAGTTTATTTTTTCTATTTATTTATTTCAAATTCGTGCTTCATCCTGTATGCTGGTAAAGTGCATGAGGTATTTCATTTAATTTTAATTTGTGGTTTTCCGTTGAGAAAGCAAAATGTGAAGACACACACACACACACACACACACACACACACACAAGGCTATGTAGTTTGAGCTCAACCTCTGAGGGCTGTGTTTCCCCCTTGCAGGTTATTGGGTTTTACAAAATTGTGCAATACTTTGTTCCTTCAAATTGTTCGAAGAAGCCCAAAAAATGCATAAGAATAAGGGAAGAAACAAAGGGAGACCCTCTACGAGACAAATGGATAGGAAGGACCAAAACATGGAAACTGATAACCAAGAAATTGCCACTGAGATCCAAAAAATGGACATGAGGAAGATTTCGAAACAGATTGAGCTTTTGGGTATGTGTATTTGTCTCTTGTTTTTCACATTCATGATTCATCCACTTTCTTTTGTTGTTTTAATGGAAGGTTGTCAACCGAAAAAAGCACCTGTAACCCTATTGGTAGCTCAGTTTGTTTAACTATGCTCTTAATTTTGTGATTCTTTCTGATACAGTGATAGTATGAAGTATATTGTGAAAACTGATAAAAAATTTGAATTATTCTAAACTGATATTATTTTGCATCTTCCTTCTTGTAAAATCAACCAGCATAATATGAGAAAATAGTTGTAATGAATAGCTTAAGGATGAATGAAACTAGGTTGGTCCTACATGACGCAGACATGCTAGTTTGTAAAGGATTGGCATATAGTGATTATGTTGGTCAGTTTCGGGCTTGGATGACCTGAATTACTTAAGAAACTGTAGTGTCAAAAAGTACATTGCACCAGTTTTAGATTGTCAGCTGTATCTTGAAATCAATTTCAAACTTCTTGATGAACTTATGTTCTCTGTGCTGTGATTATGGATATGTGTTAGAAGTGAATGGATTGTATTTCGAGCTTATTTGAGATTGTCATTGAATCAGGAAATCAGTATTGAGACCTAACAGAGTGAAATATATGTTTGCTTATATGGCAACAGTCTCTTAAGCATGTGAATATGGAGCTAATTTCTTGCTTAATCAAGTTCTGTTGCATGTCCAGGACTGCATTCTTGCTTTGCAAGTCTATCATGGCATTTGATGAACTTAAAGTCTTAGTTAATCAAACTACGAATCAAAAATTGACTAGACTTGAGATGCTCTAGTTGGAGAGTTAGAGTGCACCAAAGATGTTTTGTAAGAGCTATTAATCAAGAGGTTATGGAATATGTCATACATGGTTAGATGCACTAGAATTCGAAAGGTTGGAGGGATCTTTCATGAGTTTGAACTTGATTCTCCTAAATTTACGTACAGTTCTGTCAAATTAGGGTCATTAACAACTGAATTTGGATTCTGAAATCCATAGGTCTCATTGGTATCAAGGTGTACGGAAGATTTGGAACCTTTGAGGTGCCACTATTAAACTTGAGGCATGGTTATATTCTAGTAAATAGTTAGTTGAGAAAACTGCAATTGCATCATTGTTCAGTTCAAAACGGATTTAGTGTTAACAATATTTAAAGCATGAGGGAAAACTCCTTTACCCTATGAATGATCAAGATTTATTTACAGTTTGAAGGGGTACTATTTACCAGTTCACCTGTTACCATGGAGGTTTTTTCTCGTAATCATCTATACTAATTGTTGGTATTTATTATTACTGGGAAGTGGAGATATTTTTGTTTATATCTTTGTGAAACAATAGTATTGCTAAAGTTTTCCTTCTTGAGAGAATTTGCACTTATCTGCAAAATCATATTTATATTTTGGAAGATTCTTAGGAAGAGGTATTACAGTAGAAAAGCCATGATGTGATGAATAAAATATGTCTTAATCTATAATAACCTGCTACACCTTGCTTAATTAGGATGTGGGGAAATTGGATTCAACCATATTAGGATGTGCGTGAGACATTTCATGAGCCGGGAAATAAAGTTATACTTGATTACAATTTGTGTCAAAACTTGTGTAAAAAACATAGTGCCATTGATCTGTCCCCTATATATATATATATATATATATATAAAAGAGGAAAATATTTATGAGATATCTATCTTCATGATTTGTGCATTGAACTTATTATGTAAGTAATACGATAGAACAACTTCATATGTTTGAATGTGTGCCTTCTCAGTTGTGTTAAAGCTAGTTTTAGTCTGCTTTTTCACTTCAAATTTTTGCATTGCAGGTTCTTCTCATATGACATGGAAGCAAAGGAAGGAGTTGGAGAATAGGAAAGTGATTTCTCTAGGTGGAAAGGTATGGAGCTTTGCCCTGTTCTTATTCAAAAGTAACATATTAAGCTATGCACTGCTTTCTTTTGAGTTCTGGTTTGTTGTGGGAATGGGAAAAGGATTCACTATTGGAAAGATAAGTGAGCAGGAGAATTTCCATAGTGCCTATTATTTCCACACTTTACAAGCTTTGTTGTAATGTACCTGTAGCCAGTTTGATAATTACCTCCTTCAATCGAAAATCTCATGTCACAATCATCTTGATACAATTGAATCCTCTAGCATCCTTTGCATTTAAATCCTATTCGGGCTAGTTTATTGATGACTCATCTCCTCCTAAATTCAACCCATCCACGATGATTTGAAAGGCTAAGGTACCTCATAAGGTATAAATACTTGCTTGGATAATTGACCAAGGAAAAAGTTCATACCTGAAATTAATATTTAGCTTTGAGTTCTAATGAGTTTAGAGATAGTCCATCATTTTAGCTTAATGTGGAGTGCTGATGTAGCTTATAGCAGTTAGTTTTTAAGGTGTGTTGCCTGTTATGATGATGGTTTTGTTCTGTTAATGTGGATGTGGTGGTTCCAATCGTGTTTTCAGTGGGCTGGTGATTGGCTGTGACATACTGTTGTTTAGGTTATTACTTTAGTTCAATAAAACTGATGGTGCTAATATCAGTGTAAAGCACACAGCTCATTAACAAAATTGACATTGGTTTCCTTCAGTTGTACACTGAGCTCCAAGTAGCACTGCTTCCTTCAACTATGGTTGTGTGTTTATTCATTTGCATGCTTTTCAGTTTCCGGAAATATTCATTTGCATGTCTTCCAGAAATATTCATGTGTGCTTGCCCTTGAAACAGCCTCCAAAGAAGCAGAGACTTCCTCTAAGTATAGCAAGAGTGGTAATGAAGAATCAAAAGGAAAGGGAGAAAAAACTGCTGGAACAGGTGATTATTCTCTTCCGTTGCCCTTGTTGAATGGGGAAGCATGGTCAACTTTTACTAACTAAATAATCAATCTGCATAGAATATGGTTCTTGGACGTTTTGGTGGCAATTTCAGTGGTGGTTCTAAAAGATCAATGGAGAAGCAAAGGCCTGAGAACAGGGTTCTGAAAGCAAGTGAAGGTCGCTTTAGAAATGGTGTACTTGATGTTAAGCATTTGTTACATGCAACTCCATCTAGAGACCGCAGCGCTGGTGCCCATGTGTTTAGAGAGAACAAGAAGGGAAATGGAAAGCAGAACAAAGGTAAGAAAATGATCGGTATGGGCCCTTGAATGCATGAAGATGGAAAATCGTTTCGAACAAAAGAGCAGAAAGATTTTGCTTCTATTTGTTCTCCTATTGGCATTTGAGCTCAAATAGTAGTGTGATCCATCCTACAACTACTTGTACTGACATTAGTAATTAGCATAGAGTTAGAAAATCTTCTCTTTCTGTGTTTTTCTTCCTTGCGCTTAGAAATGTTTGCAATACTTGCCCCTGAATTTTGTTTTCTACCATTTGAGGCTAGACTAGCCAAATGCCTATATTTCATGTGCTAAGGCATAATATCGATGTTTTGCTTAACTTGGAGGAAGAATGGGGACTATCTTTGTAGCTTTCTAAAATTATTTTTATGAATAGTAAAATATAATATTCATACTCCCGCAAGAGAGAGAGAGAGAGAGAGAGTATTTTACAAAATATCAAACTCTGGCAAATAAAATATTAAAAAAATGCAGGGCAAAATTTAAAACAAAAACAGAAATATATACAAAGATGCCTATTCTTCTTTCTCATCTATCTACAGCCGCAGGCAAACCTCCTAACTTGACTCAACTAACTAAAAATCACTGACGAAGCAAAGAAACAACGTAACAAGCTAGTTTCAATTCAATTCTACACCACTCTTTCCATATAGTCTAACTTGCATAATGCACACGAGAAACTTGTCGTAGTGTACTCGTAGTTGCACGAATTATTTTCGATGTTTGTTCATCCTTTTAATGTGATGTTCCCTATGCCCGTTTTCAAACTTAAGCAAAAGTTGCAGAACATTCTCAGTAAGACAGGGCTAACTCAATGCGTCAAAAGCAGCCTCGGCAATGCCAGTGGGAAATCTTGACAGTACAAAACAAAAATTTATGGCAGCTTTGAGTTTAGGGTTTTGTGTTCAAAATTCATGAGTTACAGATTCAGCACCTTGCCGTGTTCCACTATCTGTGATCAGGCTCCGTGGCTTTCAACCACTTTTTCTAAATATGCAGCGGGCCAAAGCTAATTTGCATTGGCTGTAAGCCAGCGGCTCAGGTGAGAATATCTTTTTGCGAACCTCTATTTGGGGCTCTATCTCAGCCATTGAAGTGATCTCAATGGCTGAAGAGAAAAAACAAGCTCACAGTAGAATCGGGTACAATGCAGCTCCTCTTTTGCCGCTCACGCCTTTTTTTTGTTCATTCCTTGCACCATTTAATTATTTTATGAATAATAACTTCAAACCCCCAAAATCTCACAACACAAGTACCCAAAAGGTCATAACTCCACCCAAAAACCAGATTAAAGAAAAAACTGTTTTCATTTGTGCAAAATCTCACGACCCAAAATCTCTGAACTTCTCAAATACCCATTTCTCAACTTCTTCGTGATCGAGTGTTGCCTCTGATATCAAAACCCTTTCCAGTCGCCCATTCATTCCATCCTCCGTAATCGAGTGTTGCCTAAGAATCATCAGCGGTTTGTCCAAAATTAGCTGTCCCGACATCTGCATTTCTGAACTTCTCCCAAATCGAATTTTGATCTTTCAAAGAAGCATCAACCAGTTCTGTGGTAAGTGAACTGCAATGAAAGCGAAATTTAAGAAGTGTAAGATTATATTCTATCTACCGACCTTTTGTAACTCTTCCTCTTATCAATTTTATCGCTAAATGGAGTTTATGGATATGGGTGTGTTTATCGTAGTGTGAATGAGTATCCGTTTGTAGTTTGCTTAGTTCCTGTGAATTTTGGTTTTGCTAGATTAGAAGCAGTCTATCTGTGGCTGAATTTTAAGCCCTTGTAGTTTGCTTAGTTCCTTTCTTCTTTTGGTCGTTTGTATATACACTCTTGTTTAGTGTTTAGAATGGCATTTCAAATGCCCTCTGACTCTTATTCTTCTTATTGAGATGCTGTTCTTACTGAAATTGATATCCCCTTTGTTGACATTGTGCTTCCTTTCTCTGACGTGTGTCGTCCTGTGTGGAAGGACGCTCTGTGCATGTTTTTTCCTTTACGTGTTTTTATACTTGCATGTTATTCTTTCCAACTTTGTGCTGAATCACAGAGTTAAAGAAAAATTTCTTCCATTGAAATAGGAGATAAACATGCCCTGTTACATCATGATAAATATAAGAAGAAACTAAGCACTCTTAAACCTTTTCCTATCGAGACCCAGAACCTTTTCCTCCACCATTAGTCTCTTAATATGTTGTCTCTTCTTCTTAATCTTAGAACACCCAAAGAGCATACATAGGTTGTTTCCCAATCTGTACATGTCTGCTTAGTTGCTCAGAATTCTTCCCAAGCTATGCAATTATGAAATATGTTTGTAATTTCCAATCAGAGCTTTAGTCATCCAAAGCAATAAGTGTATAGGAGTAGTAGGCTAGGTGGTGTTCCATGACACTTCCACAGCTGACTCGCTTAAGTGCTACTAGGTAAAGCCATCACTACTGCCAGCAGATCTTTTTAATTTTTCTCTGCTTTTGATGTTTTTATGCTTCTGACTAAGATAAAGATATAGTATAGTTGTGCAGCTCTCCAGTTTTCTTTTTTACTATTGGTTTGTTTCTGAATAAATGTCTGAGACCCCAAAGAGTTTTTTGTGTTGGTATATTCTCCTTACCGTTAAAGGCCACAAGGTGAACACGAAAGTTGCTCTAGCTTAGGTTTAGGTAATGGTGAGGAAGCTGGATGATACCAGCCTCCAGGCACAATAGGAAACATTATGTTTACCATTGATTGTTGGGGTCTTGTTTTATTCAAATTTAAGTCTAAGCAAAAATGTCTTTGTTTATCCCTTTATCTGGTCAGCAGGTAGTAGTGGTAGATTTTTCTTGAATCAATATTACATAATAAACCATATATTTGCAGTTTTTCACTGGGTATGAAGAGATGAGCTTTTTGGTTGCTTACTGGATATTTGATTGTAGTGACCATCAATTTCTGTCATTGTTGGAGTTATGGAATATGTTATTTTGAGTATGAGCTTTGGATTAGTTTAGTAGTAGATCAGGGTGAGAACTAAATAATTAATTTGTGGTCTTATTTCAGCAAATCTTGGGAGCTCATATATCATAAATTAATAGTATTTAACTTTTTGATAAAATAAATGTTATATGTAAGAGTTTTAATGGTTTTGGCTTTTTATGGAAGGAATGGTGCCTGCATTCATGGTGAACTATATCCTTTTCCATGTCATGTGATACAGGGCCTGTACCTGGGGACCTTGATCGGGAATGGAATTGAGAAGTTAGCATCGATATAGGTATGTGTTGATCATATTGTGAGTATTATGGACATGGGTATCCAATTCTGTATCCGAATGTGTTGATAATAATGTGAGTAGTATGTATATGGATATGATTTTTGTATCTGGCCAATAGGTGAGTAGTACCGATATGGGTATCATTTTTGTATCTTGCCAATAGCTGAGTGTGGAGTTGGGTATCATTTTTGTATCTTGCGAATAACTGAGTAGTATAGAATATAGATTTGGGTATCATATTCTGAATTTGAATGTATGGGTATCAATTTTGTATCTTGATAATAGGTGAGTAGTATAGATTTGGGTATCAGATTTTGTATCTGAAGGTGTTGATAATAGTGCCAATAGTATGGATATGGGTATCATTTTTTTATCTTTCTAATAGGTGAGTAGTATGGATTTGGGTACCAGATTCTGTATCTAAATTTGCAGGTTTCATTTTTTATATCTTGATAATAGGTGAGTAGTATGGATTTGGGTATAATTTTCTGTATCTGAATGTGTAGATAATAGTGCGAATGGTATGGATATGTGTATCATTTTTGTATCTGAATGTGTTGATGGATATGGATATCATTTTTATATCTTTCTAATTGGTGAGTAATATGGATTTGGGTAGTAGATTATGTATATGAATCTATTGATAACAGTGAATAGTGTGGATTTATTAATTACTCATGCCTGAAATCTTTGTATTACTTTCAGTTCTCCTTTAGTATTCTAGCATGAAGACAACTATGCTAAGTTCAATGCATAGTGATGCTGCCATATGTTTCTCCCTAAAAAGGTCATTCATAGTGCCATGAATTCATCCTAACTATTGTCTATTTTTAATTTTTTTTTTTACAGAGAAGCGTTGTTGACCAGCTAAATTCTGGGTTGGAAAATATATAGTAGGAAATCAAGGCCCAGCTGTTTAGAGTCCATTTAACTAGTTGTGAAATATTTGTGTATGATTCGAAATTAGATTTGTGCAGAACTCAAACATTGATAAAAGCACTGCAGCCGGTTGCGAAATTGATCCCTATGTTGTTAAAAGAAGCTGGATATGTTGACGGTTGTCCTCTACTAACAACTGAGTGGCCAGTTAATCGAGTAATTGATGCTCCCCAACAAGTTGGTGGGTGAGTAACTTTCCACCTACAAATTTACATATGTTATGTACAAATTGTGGAATGATTCACGGTGTCTTGCTAAGTTTCAGGGGGGACTGCGGGATGTTTGTCATAAAATATTGCGAATTTCTCAGCTCCAATGTAGACTTGGTGCAAATTTGTGATGAGGCCATCCATTTATTCTAGTTAAAGCTTGCTATAGACTTGTTGCAGGGATGCTGCAGTATATAGGAGTGTGATTGTGGGTGATGGAATTATTGAACTGTCTGGGTGGTTTAGTTTTTAATTTTGTTGGTAAGAATTGTTTAGGTACTGGATGAGGATTCGGTTGGGATTACCAAATCCCGTCTGATATGCACTGAGGGTACTTAGTTATTTCTTTTCCTGGGGCTATGCCTCCTTTGTTTATACCCAAAAAAAATAATTTGAAAAACTAAACTTTACCAGCAATGCACTCCATTTTAGCTAACCACAAATATTTTATTATTTTAAATTCATTACAATTGTAATATGAAACAATTTTAATTTTTTTTTGAAAAGGACCCAAAATGACCTTCTCAGCACCGCAGTGTCGACAGCTCTTTGTTTCAATGCTGGCTGAAGAAGTCGACATTGCCCACAATGAAATGCCTATATTGCACGTCTTGACCATATGTATAAAATACACGGGAAAGAAAAACATAGTTGAAATACAAAACATAAACAAAATAATAATATAACAGACTTGCACGTGTTCCTTCAAAAAGGGTACTTGTGATCGGGTGATGGTACACGTGTTCATTCACTAGTAACCCCATAACTGGTTCCCCATGTGTCCCAGTTGTGGCTTTGGGGTTGGTTTCGGTTTCTTTATCCTTTTACAGTTCATAATGGAGACAACGACATGAGGGCTTGATCAACACAGCCACGTATAATATTAAACATTAACTTGGGTTTTCAAACGTGCACATGTACAATATTATTTAATACCCACCCCAAGTTATTCTTTCTTGATAGCATAAAAACATATATAATATGAGAAGGAAATGTCATATTTCCATAATACTTTGTACGAGTAACCCGTAAACCCTAAACCCTAACCCTTAACCCCTAACCTCTAACCCCTACCATGTAAACCCTAAACCGTACCATTTGTAATAAAATTTTGAAGTTTTAACAACAAATTAGATTTGGATGAGATGCCAGCTGGCGACATCCCTTGCTGACACGTATCCCCTTTCAAAAAGATATAATCAAATTTTGTTGTAAATACATTTAAAATATTAAAATAAATGGGAAAATACCAACAAAAATACGTATGTATTTCTCAGCACCAATAATTCATATCCCAAGCCAAAAAAGTAGTTTAAATTTTTTTAAAAAAATTTAAAGTTGGGGGTCGTCCCTAAATGTGAATGATGCAAATGAAATACATAAATACACTTTGTAAATCCTAAGCTATTGTTTGTTTGATCACATAAGGACCGGATCAAAAATTGAATGTAATTAATGGGAAAAATACATTGGATGCCAAACCCTAAACCCTAATGTAATTAATGAAATACATTAAAATTGTTTGTTTGAATTATACAATGAAATACAATGAAATACATTAAGTTTGTTTATATACTAACAATATTACTATTACTCTCCCTTACAACAACTCTTCCTCCCATTATTACTTCAAATTTTCCAAAGTCAAAATTTTATTTTCACACATCATAGTAGAAGATAATGTCACAAGGAGTTTTTAGAAATTTTTGGTACATTTTTTGGATTTTGTATTCATTTTTTGTGAATTTTTTAAGGTAAAGACACAAGAATGAAGCTCTGATGACACATGGCATTATGCGATACTGACACTTGTCGGAAACTCTGAAACGTACCTATAAGACGCTGCCATGTGTTATTATATTTAATTTATTACTATTTTACAATGCTTTAACTCCCAAAATTCATAATAAATTCATAAAAATTCACAAAAAAATTACTTCATATTTTAAGCTTTAAATCCATTTCGATATCAAAACAAATAAATAATTTGATAGATGCCAGATGGCAGTGGTACGATGGTTAGGTGCAAGGTTTTTACCTTGCCTTTTGGTTTGGCAGAGATGACCACATTGAATGATTATGTTACATTATATGTTTCAATGCTCACAACTCTTTCAACATATTTCCTTGCCTTTAAGGTTGGAAGTTTTCCCATTTCACTGCAATTTCCTTCCCTTTTGTAGAAGCCCTAATGAATAAGTATTGAAGCCCTAATGAAATCTTTGTGATGCTTTTATGAAACATATTTTGACAAAAGTCAAAATGACATGTTTGGAACTTTACAAATTATTGAATGTGCTAATATTTTCTTCTATTACCCAAAATGATACACCACTAATGCTCTAGTGAATTCGTTCGGACACTTTTATAAAACTTGTTTTGAGAGAGTGATACTCGTAGAATGGATATAATTTATAAATGATTCACTTCCTCCAATTATTACTTCAAATTTCCATAAATAGTAATTAAGACTTCTTAGTAAAAATAAAATAAAACTTAGGAAGCTTTAGTAAAGCGATGTTGAAGCTGTAGTGAATCCTTTTGAAGCGTTTATGAAACATATTTTTGTGGCAAACAAGTGATGTTGCAACATTGTGATTCTGAACACAAGGCAACCAAAGCTTTAAACAAGGGCCTGCACAAATTAAATGAACACAATAAAAATAAAACCAAGCTACTAAAATTCCAATATTAAACCCAAAACGAAACAAAACAGTCCCAATTTAAGAGGAATACTCAACAGTAAATGCAGCAGTACCAAAAATACGTTTAAGCAATTTTTTTTTCTTTCTATATTCGATTACATTATGATTTAGCATATTACTGGTATCAGTTTCCAACGCTGCAGACAAAGCAAGATATGCACAAAAAGCGACATAATGAATATATCAAGAACCCTTCAATAATTTATCAATAACCAGTGAATAATGTATCAATAGTCCACCAATATTGTATCAGTCACCCATCAATAGTTTATCAACAACCCATCACTCCTGTCAATAGTTTATCACTGTCATAGAAAGTTTGAAACAAAAACACAACTAATAATTGTCTTATTACACAAAAACACCCAAATTAATGTCAGTTGTTTTTTCAATTGAGTACATGTTCACTAGGATGTTGTGGCTCTTGAGAAAGCTAAGGTTTAGTTTGGTATTGCTGTGCTTTTAAAAAAAACTGCTTCTGCTGTGCTGTGAAAATAAACAGCTGTGAAGTGAAGCAACAAAGTGTTTGGTAATCTAGATTTTTAAAAGTGCTGTGAGTATAAAAAGCAGTGTCATAGTGTTTGGTAAACTTTTTTATAGAAGTGCTGTGAGAGTGTATAATGACAATAAAGGGCATGATGAAATTTTTTTCAAAACCTAAAATTACCATAAGAAATAAAAAATGTATAATTTTTCTCCTTTTTGTTTCTTCCTTTCTTCTTCCTTCTCAGGCCCCATTTCCTCTTTTTCTTTTTTTTTTTTCTCTCTCCCTCTCTCCTTTCTCTTTTCTTCTTCCTTCACGGGCCCCAAGAAAGGAAAAACCAAGAAAATATGTCCCGTATGCCCATATGGTAGCCACAAATGACACAAATGGACAAAACATTAACAATATAATGAGTATTCTCATTAAACCAGAGAAACAATGACCAGTATGCATAAGGCTATGAGATGCCAAACAATCATTATCAATAATTGGAGCCCTATGAAACCTATAGCATAACTCGAAACAGGCCTTACCTACAATGAATCTCTTTCCAATGAACTCCACAACACTGTTGTCCTCTATCCAGAGGTATATCCAGCTGCAAACTAGAAGAGAAACACGAATATATCATAAGGAAAATTAAAAAATTTCTTTTCTTTAAGAGAAGGAAAATAAAAATCTCTGAAGAGCCCCTTAAGGGACTTATTCCTGTTTATGCTAGGAACTCTAAACCTACTATTTGGCAGTTGTAAAACTTTTTCCCCCGACTAACCATTCAGTGAAGCGGAGGGCAAGGCAGGCAAAAAACCCCTCAAGTCTACATCTATAATCCCAAATTTGCCACATACCCGCACACCCAATACCCATTTCGCCAAAATTAATGTCTTTACATGAGATTTATTCAAAATACCATATTTTTAAATGTTCAAATTAAGAAAAGGAAGAGGAATGTACCAGATTTCTTAACCAGAGCAAGGAAGGAAGGAGATAACCTCTGCAAGAGACAAGAACCAGAGAAAATAAAGAGAAGAGCTCACTTGTGTTAATCATGAGGAGACAAGAACCAAAACACAGTCTTAATCATCAAACAAACACATAATAACATAGCCGAGTTGTTCAATCCATTCTATGCTTTTCTATAGCCCATAAATTATAAATATTGGTACAAAGAGTAGACAACAAGCAGAGACATGGAATGAAAAACAAAACCGCAAGATCATATCCTAATACCCACAAACAAACACAATCAATCATATTCAACCCCAATATAAATCATGCCCACCCAAACAAAAAAATCTAGTTTTTTTGCCTTTCTTCTAAATAAAACACCTCAAATCTACACATACAACCCCAAATTTTTCACATACCTGCACATCCAAAACCCATTTCCCAAAAAGAAAGCGATAGATCCAGATTGGTAGCCAGTCATGATAGTTTTCACGAAAATATTTCAGAAGAGAAGAGTGATGCTTTGTATAGAAATGAAAGCGACAAAAAACCCCTCAAGTCTACATCTAGAATCCCAAATTTGCCACATACCCGCACACCCAATACCCATTTCGCCAAAATTAATGTCTTTACATGAGATTTATTCAAAAT